AACTTCAGTGCCTTTCCTTTTTTTTGTTTTTTTAGTCCTCATTGCATCCTGAAACGGAGGAACTCTGACAGCTGTGTTTGGCTGTCTGGCATCAAACTCGTTTCCTTCTTTGGGCAATGAATGCATTTGGCCATCCACGTCGTCCCTGTCCATTTTACAAATGGTGACCTCCTGTCCCCTCATCACGGGGAGTATCCTTTTTTCACGGAGACGTTCACTCCGACTGTTACAGACATGTTTCATTTCTCCCAGTTACGTCATAAAAAATAAGGAGAAGAGCTGTTTCTAGCATTTTTTTCAGTTTTTTTACTTGTTGTTTCGAATTTATTAATGTCGACATGGCGTCACACCGTTGAGTTTTCTAAACTCAACAACCGTAGGTGGGACCAGACCCCTGGGGTGAAGTCCCACCGCCGAAGTTGAGTTTTCTCAACGCTGAGCTTTCTATCACGTGTGGCATGGTGGGATGGAGCTCTGCCGTTGATATATTGAGAATCTAAGGGTACCGAAATACAGGAGAATAACCTATCAGATTTGGTCATTTTGTAGAATTTTTCTTTGAAGTGAACTCCGTTTTGGTTTGGGCCGGAAGCCATTTTCCATTGAGAAAACTACCCTACCGAGGGTAGGGTACATTTCTCAACATATGTGCCTTTCGTTTTTTTGGTTTTTTTAGATATCATTATACCCTGAAACGGAGGAACTCTGACAGCTGTGTTTGGCTCTCTCGCATCAAACTCTCTTCCTTCTTTGGACAATGATTGCATCTGGCCATCCATGCTGTCCCTGTCCATTTTACGAATGGTGACCTCCTGTCCCCTCACTACGGGAAGTATCCTTTTTCCACGGAGACATTCCTTTCCGGGTCGGTTCGACTATCAGGGGTGGCAGCAGACTGCAACATCACAAGGACAATGTTCGGAATGGAGACTCAAATGGGAGACGTGATGGCCAGATGGCCAGATGTGGGGGGGGCGATTTCCACAGGAATCATTCACCTTTCATCCTGCGTCACACTTGTTTACAGGCTTGGTGGCTTGCAATCCTTTGAACCCTGGAGCCACTGAGGGCTTAGGATTTATATAGGGGTTTAATAATGGGTCCGAATAAGAGGTTTTCAAAATCAGGTTTCAATCACTTGATAACTTGGTAACAATAAATAGGGGGGCTGCAGATTAGGGCCGGGCAACAACAAACATGCTCCACAATGGGATGGGAAACACTTGCAGCTCCAAGGGGAAAGGAGTCTCGGGTTTTGAAACACAGTTTGGCCACGGCCCAGGAGAACAACAGCAAACTCTGAGTTACAAAGATGTATAAAAGGGACGCTGGGCTCGGTTCCCAGCAGGTGCCACTCCACACCAATAGATGGAGCAGCCCAACAGCCAAATCCCTCCATCCTGGCGGTTTTCTCACCACCGCTGGGATGGAAGGCTTATGCAGGGGCTATTCAATTAAAAAAAAAAAAAAAAAAAAAAAAAAAACAAACAAACAAACGAGTGTTACCTTCAGCAAGTCCTGCAGGGCGACCACAGTGCTTCCCCTGGCACCGGTCTGCACAACCGGCCAGGCGAAAACACCTTGCAGCATCAAACACACCACCAGTAAGAATGCGAGGCCTCGAGATGCCATCTTCGCTGGCAAGCGAAAGCTGCAAAGATGTGAAAGAATGTCGAGCACGCCGCCAGTCAAGCAGAGATATCGACGAGGTGATATCGGGCAATCCGCGAGCCAAGCAGAGATATCAACCAATAATGTCGAGCAAGCCGCCAGCCAAGCAGTGATAATATGAAGGATGTCGACTCAAGCAGCAAGTCATTGACAAGCAAGGAGAATACGTACATATGGAAAGAGAACCCTCTCAACGATCCTTCTTCCCCCCCCCTGCTACCACAACAAGCGTGTCGCAACGAGACGGTCACCCCTTTTTTATATAACGTCTGGCGCCCTTCGTCCCAATCCCACTCGCAGCCGGAGCCCGAGCAGATGAGTAGAGCACGCTCAGCACAGAATATTAACGTTATAACAGTCCAGGTTCGTGCACACTCAGCACAGGAATACATAACTGTTCCATTGCAGGTTCGTGCACACATGACCGTGAAAGGAGACCCCCACACGTGAGGAAACGACGGGCGAAAGAAAATCATCGCTCCGGTGTCCCTACTAGGGCACGCGTGTGGTGCCGTGCCTCCATCCGGTAGATGGCAGCAGCCAGACGACAACCCACCGTCTCCCCCCCCTTCCCCCTCTCTGGCCCCCTCCCTTCCCCCTTCCTCCTCTCCCTCCCCCTCCCCCCTCTTATGTCAAGTACGGACCACAAAAGCACTTGGATTTTCCTGCCTGGATGTCAAAATAGCACCTCGGACTTCCCAGCCTACGAACTTTCCCCCGAACACAACGCACCCTGATAACGAATGTATAGGAGGTATCTTTCCGGTCTGGTGCAGCCAAAAATGAGGGTGCGTTGTGCTCCGGGGAAGACGGCTGATGTCTCCTATGGTAGGGCCCCTAGCTGACAGGTACGTCCAGGACAGTCATAGTACCATGAGCATGTCGCCCACGGCAGAAAGTAGAGAGGGGCACTTGTGGCCCCTGGTTTCCCAGCAGTGGCAATCACGTCCCTTGTCCTTGCAGGAGTGTACCCCGCTTGCCTCAACATGTGCCCTGAACTGCCATGAACGAAATTGAAACTGAGTAATTTTAACGGAAAACAGGTCCAAACTTTTCTCATTTTTCTTGCTACCTTCTTCCCCCGAATACAACGTAAGATCATTATGGCAGTATTTGAGGCATCTTTCAGTCTAGATACAGCTATAATCACCGTACATTGTATTCGGGGGAAGAAGGTAGTACTCATCTATCTCATCCTCTCACTAGTCTATGTGTAGTACGGGGGAACACCAACCAACCCGGATCTCTCCCCAGCGCATGGGGTAGGTTGGCACCACAGTAGTGGTGGGAGAGCAAGGCTGTACCAGTCCCTCATCACGGTGACGAGGGGTGGGCAGGCATTGCTGATGGGGAAAATCGGAGGTGCTAGCGCCGACCAATGGCCAGTCACTGCACCTCCCCCTACCCCCCCCAAACCCCACACTGGCTCCTGAGGGTCGGGCGTTCTTAAAACGCCTGACCCGCTGGATGTATCTGGTCTCCTGCAGAGTCCACATACATCCAAAGGATCTGGCGGTTAGAACACCCCACTGGATGTATCTGGTCTCTTCCACATACATCCAGGGGGTCTGGCGGTTTAAGAAAGGAGCCCAAATTTTGGACCTGTTTTCAGCCAAATTTCTCCCTTTCAATTTGAATTCGTCAAAAACGAAAAAAGAAAAGAGTGTGGCTGATCCAGTGTGACACTGAGTGGCAGCTGCCAGACAGGTTCATTCCGAATTTCTGGGCTGAGAAAACAGGAGAAAGGAACCACCGGAAATCAGGACAGAGTGCTTCCCAGCCATCAGATCACAAATGATCTGATGGTGGTGGTTGCAACAACAGTGCGGAAAGTAACAGCCACATTTTCTGGAATAAGGGCCAGATCCCACTAGCCCCCATTGTTCATTTCTGACAGTTGATCTTCGTAATCGAGGGTGAAAAATGAATAATCCAGGATAGTGGGATCTGACCCTAGACTTGACTTCTGTCAGCAGTGATCCTGACACCCTCCATACTACCTGATGGAAGGAGGGCTCCACCCAATGAGATAATTGCACAACAGCAAGTGAAAATACTGAAAATCTTCTATCCAGTGGGCCTAAGGCCGACACCACCCTCTTTTGGGGTTGGCCACACCCCCAACCTATTGAAAAGATTCTGGTGGGAAGCTTTCTTTGCAGGGGCATGCCCAGTGTTAAGGAGAGGAGAAGGGGAACAAAGATCTCCCGAACGGAGGGGAAGAAATATCTCCTTTCTTTTTCGGGTAATACATGTAAAATACTGACCATGGGATCACGAGTACTGCACAGCAGGATTTCGGTCACTCAACTGCCTCACAAACTCGTTTCTATCCTATCCAGTTGCTAGTGGGACCTCGCCCTTGGTGTCCTGCCAGTGGCCATGGTTTTCCCATCAGTGGCAATCACGTCCCTTGCGCGTCCAGCGTGTACCGCACTTGCCTCGAAGCTTCGTTGAAGGCATCGCTGACTCGCTGCATCAGCTAGTACAAGATAGGCGATTGGGAGAAGATTACAGATAGGCCCAATGTCGTTCACAAGCGCTCATGACGGAGGAGATAAAGATTTGTCCAATCATCCAATGAAATGGGTGCAGCCACAATCGGGGAGCGGCGAAACTTCCACAAAAGCTCTATCCCCAGACGGGTGGGACAATAGTTACCATTGAAATACAGACAAGAGAATTGCGTGGCCCAGTGCCGGTGGTGCTCGTCTGGGGAAGGTAGGAATCCTGAGACCTCCATCAGATACGACGATAGAGAGTGGAATTCTTCACGACTCTTGCCAAGTGCGCCCTGGAGACTCTCCAAACAGAGGTGGTGGTCCCGTGCCAACTTACTGAACACAGACACGTTGGTGAGTTCTAAGCGAGTAGCAACACCCTTGGCCCATTCGTCTGAAGTGTAAACACACGTAACAGTTGATGGAATCGGATTGAATAGAGAGTAATTCTAGCTGCGACAAAAAAAGGAAGGAAGAAAGAAACAAAAAAACGAACAAACAAACAAACAAGTAGGGATCTTTTGTGAAATACCCCTATAAGTTGAGATATATGCCAAAATGCCACTCAAAGAAGTGGGTAGAGTGGAATACCCCTCTGACACAAAAATGTTTTGCGAAATGCTCCCAGCGGTGCTTGGACCCGCCATCTTTGCAAAATACCCCTACCGGCTACTGTCCATCTTTGGAAATACCCCTACCGGGTACTGTCCATCTCTGCAAAATGTCCCCGTACTTGCTAACTTTTCCCAGACCCTATATATTATCGTTTTACCCCTACCGGCCCAGGTCATCTTTGTGTTTTGCCCCTTGGCCGGTGCCTCCAAAAAAAAGCACATTGAAGACAAAGCACAGCCATTATGGCTGTAATTTCTTGGAGAAGCTTTCTGTCTAGATACACAGAAAATGGATGTGCATTTGTGACGCCCAAACCTCACGCCCCGCGCAACTTCCTGATCGGAGTGGGAGTGGGCCTGGAAATGCGAAAAGGGGGTGTGCCAAGGATTTTAGGAAAGTGGGGGTGGAGTCCCAGGTCGGAACTGAGATCTACGGTGGCAAGTTTCAGGGATACAAATGCAAGAGGGTAGGCGCAAAAAATAAGTGAGAAAAAGGGGCTGTAGGGCTTTGAAAGCCCTACAGCCTCTTTTTTTTTTTTTTGAATTTGACTTCATTTACGATTTGTGAAAAATGAAAAATGAGAATAGATTACAAAGGAAAAGATTAAAAATAAATAAAAGAAAACCAGGAATATTATCCGAATATATATATATATATATATCGTCAAATATATATATATATCGTCAAATAGAACTGCCCGGTAAACCATAGGCAGAGAGGGAGAAGAGGACAACAAACGAGGGGCTGTGACAAACTGTTTCGTC